CAACATTCTATGAAGTTGCCAAGTCATGTTTAAACTGCCAATTGTAACCACAAAACAGTTTTTACCTCAAGTTTTTTAAATAAACCAAAAAGACCTTTGCACCTCCTACATTCATCAAATCAAAACCCATATGCTATTATTTCACCCTATAACATACGAGAGAACTTAGAAATGCACGATGCTTTATATTTTGAGAGAGTTATTTAATTCTCGAAGGATAACCCACGAATTCTTCTACTTTTAATTGCCCTAGGTTCTCCCTTCACAAGATCAATTACCATGTTGAATCCTCAAGCATAAAAGTTCACCTGAGATGGATAACATTCAATCAAGTACCAAAAATTTTATTGAACACCAGCAATAGTTACCATCACAATCAACATAAGAAACAGCAAATAATTGATAACAATTTCCCCACAGAAATAATCCGGATGTGACAAGGTTTCTCTGATGTTAATTTCCACCAGATTTTAGAAACAGACACCACAATAATTGATTTCACTACGCGTATATTGACATGAAATACAAATGCAAATATTAAGTAAATAGTTCAATGTAACTATATGACATTTAAAAAAAAAAAAAAAAAGCTTGACACCCTAGCTTAGTGCTCAGGGCTCACCGTAGGCTGGTGATTTATGAGCAAAAAGATTGAGACAACACATTAATATCTTCATCTCTTGCTCCTATGCTGCTTAATTTAAAAACCAGGTTTTCCCCTCCTCAACATTCCAAACAGCCCTTCCCTGGGCATTTTAGGATGATTTCCTATTGTTTCTTATTGTAAGTTACATGCTGCTTTTGTCATTATAGTTTAAGTACTCCTTAGTATGCGTCAAGGCTTTCATCCCTCTGTAGGCTCATTGTCTCGATGAGATTAGATATTCCTGCTAAATATTTACGCACACATACACACAAAAATGGGATTCTATAACATGAAACCCTAGTTTTGGGATATTTCATCAACTCAGGATGAAAAGTATTGTATTTTCATGTTATAGGTAGAAAATCTTATAGAAATAGATCCCTAAATATCCATATGCAGTCAGAAATGTTTGCAGAGTCTGAGCCCTGGGAAGTAAACGATTTACATATGATAGAGCATAATGTTGAGCTGCAGGGTTCTCTAACCTTGGTTAACATTGCAATTGACTTTTAACGGGCAGATTTCTAATTTCTTTGCAATGAAAGATGAACAACCAATTATATATGAAAAACTGAAGAAACAGAAAATTGACAACTGATGCTGGAGAAAGTTATTGAAGAGAGATAGTGCAAGGAAAATAGAATTGCATACCATATCACCTAGACCAAGCATCATGAAATCAGTGGCATGTTTTCCTGGAATGACTCCACCAAGTAAGTTCCTGGGAAAGACTATCTTGACGGGTAACTCGAGCTTCTTAGTTATCAATTGCAAACCAGGAAGACTCAGACTATTAGCAACTGTGTGAACAGGATTTGATGCTTGCTGAGTTGCTACAGATACCATTACATTTGCCCCGAAGAATCTCTCAGAGAAGAAGACCCAGAATATATCATATACAAAGAGACAAACGAGGAGCATTGCACATACTTTAACATTAGGGAGACGTACATGGCTGACAAATGCAACACATATTGAAATTCCTAACAAATTGTTCAAAATCCAATGCCCAGAAACAAGCCAAGCTGCGACTAAACCAGAACATACCAACAATAATAACCCTTGAATTCGTGTAAATGACTTGGAACAACACCTCGATACATAAGGATCAGCCAATCCAAACTGGGACTTTAAGTAGGCCATGTAGGGAGCTAAACAGAAGAAGAGGGATGAAACAGAAGCAACAGTTGTGAATGCAGTAAGAAGTTGAGACATGGAAGAAAACAGGTAGAACATCAAAAGCAAACTGCAAGAACTCATAACTGGGATCATTAACGCTTGGGATCTGTCTAAGGTAATGGATGCTTCTGAAAAGTCATGGTTTCTCTCCATTTCCTTTCCATAATTTAGGGCCCGGAAAGCAGATCCAAATGTAACAGCCACTGCAGTCACAATAAGAGTGACAGGTGCAGGTTCCAGCAAATATAAAAGTTTCCACAAAGGCTCCATAATGAACTAATTGCGCTTCTTCAATTTCGTTGTCTATTTTAAAACTCCTAAAATTGTAAATTAGGCAACCAAAGTTGCATTCTTTCTCTGATGTATACTTGACCAGAGAAATTTGTGCAACCTGCAAGACCAAAAGCAGCAGTTAATTAACAAAACACGCACACACACAGCAAACAGAACCAAGAGAGTTATCTTCAGAACAAAAATCTGTTAAAACTTGACTCAAATATGAAGAACCATTCGGTCATCGCAGAAAGAGTACTTTCATACACGATTATGCAATAAATAAAGGTTATGAATGGTGAAGAATAAATAAAAAATGAGCCATAAAAAATTCAACCAAACAAATAAAAACACGTTTGAATGAAAATCTCCAACAATCACTGCAGTCGGTTTCCATCCAGCTTACAACTAAATCACTATAAAGATAGCAAAAGATGATCAACATTATGTGAATAAGCCCAAGAACCGAAAAACTTACAAACACAGCCTATTGTATATCAACTACCAACCGTCGTAAGGATTAAAATCGCAATTCCTCGAAACAATTTCTCGGTTTTCCTCAGATAAAGGGTCGACGGGGCCTTGAATTGCAAATCCCTTAATTTTTCCAATTGAAACACCAGTCAATTGACAACATTTATCCACAGACTATCATGTATCTAGGGCAAGAACACTAAAGCAATAAAATCCTACGCGTATTGAAGTAAAACAAGCGCGTACACAGATTCAGATACGTACACAATAAGCGATCAAAGTTCTTGAAAGACGAGACGATTGCAAAATTAGGGTTCCTCAAAATCAGATGATTAACAAAGAAGACTAACCTTGGACTTTGAAGGTCTTCAAACTCAAAGGGCTCTCCCTTTTAGCCACTCTGATCAGACAAATCTATTCACTCGAAGTGAAGAGCTGAATGCTAAGGAAATTTTAGTTCGCTGAATTACAAATTCGGCGTTCTTATGAACTCGAGAAGTGTATTTGCACATACAATATAAGAATAGAATAAGACTAAAACAAGAATTAAGAATATAATGATTATGTTATGTTATATATTTAGTTGGTGCCCTTTAAAGTTTGTACCACGTATTTTAACTTCACAAAATATTTAATAAATCACTAAAAACGTAAATTTTATTTTAGATTTAATAGATCGATTGATTTTTAAATTTTGATAATGATAAAAACTCTATCCTACACAAATTTAAATGTTTTTTTTTTTTAATTTAGAGTATTTTATACATCATTTTTTAAATTTATAATTTAATATTATATATAATACATTTTAAAATAAATTAAATTAATAATTAAAAAAATGTATTCCAACTTTTTACTCTCTCAAAAATATTTTTTAATTTTTAAAACACTTTATAAAAAAAAATAATAAATAAAAAATATACTATATTTAGAATGAATCTTTTTTTTTTTTTTGTCCTTTACATTCAAATATCTTTTAAACTTTTAATAATTATTAGTTTTTCAAAAGTACTCTTTTAATCTTTTAATCTTTAAAATTTTTATTTTTTTTATTAATATCCTTAAATTTATTTTAAATATATAAAATATCAATAAACTTTGGAAAGAAAATGCTTAAATATATAATTCAACGATTCACCATTTTTTCAGTCACTAAATTTTTTCCAATTTCTCGATCTTTTTTCTCGTCTTAAACATCATAGCTATAAATAAAACAAACAATTCTCTTATTTTTTTAGTATTTTAAACAATATAATAAATTTCAACACCCAAATAGCTAATTTATTTGAGTTGAAAATAACGAAGTTAATTATTTGAGTCTTGAAATATCTTACATTTATGTCCCAATGATTATTTAAAATTTCAATATTCCAATAAAAAAGATAATTAAGAGTAATTTTAGAGATTGAAAAGTGAAATAAGACGATATTAAAAAAAGCAAGGAGAAAATATGAAAAATATTAAAGAGTATTTTTTTTATTTTAAAAAAATATCTTAAAAGTTTAATTATATTTTAAAAAAATAAAAATATTAAAGTTTTCTATCTGAAAGCATTTTTTTGTGTTTGAAATATTATTTGATTTTTTTTTTTTTTTAAGTTTATAAATATTTTTTAGATAATACTTTTTTTTTATTAATTCAACCTTAAAAATACAAAAAAAAAAAAAAACAAGAGTTTATCAAAATGAAATAAATGTACAAATTTAATATTGGTGAGTTATACTTATAATTATAAATCATACGTAAATATGGTGAGTCAAATCAACTCAATAGCCTGTCCCTCACAATTCCTTCCATTATTTTCCAGTTTGACCAAAATTATTCAACGCTTTAAGTCAACAGTCCCTCTCTTTTATAATAATTAATTTTAATTTATTAAAGAAAAATTATTTTCTTTAAAAATAGCACAAGAGAAAATATTTTTAATCTGTAATTATTATTATTATTATTTGGAAAGATTGTTTAGGAGATTTTTAAGGTAAATGACGCACTAGAAAAGGCAAATTAATCAATAATGTTTGTCAAATATTGAAACAAATTACTAAAGTTAATCCTACATTTTTTAAACTTTTTAAATAAATCAATTTTCTTCCATACCATACAAAAAATATAAATTGATTTTTTTTATCAATTTTAATAATATAATTTTTTAATGTTTGTTTTAGTTTATTTATTTTATTTCATTTCATTCTATTTGATCTATATGATATATCACTACTAGACTTACATGCATTTATTTTTATTTTTTTAATATAAAGTTCCTATTAATGGCAACTCTCGTAAATAACACCATATTCAATGTCAAATGCTTGGCCAACTACTACGTAATAAACACACACGTAAAATCTATAAAAACCCCCCGTTGTTCTTCCTCCGTTCCAATAAATTCCAATTCCGACGCGTCGCTGATCGCCGGTGACGCCTGAAGATGAATCCAGCCGCCTTCGGAGCTCCATTCCTAGCAGTTCTGTTTCTTCTTGCTGCAGCGCTACGGTCACTACCGCTCGCCGGAGCACGGCTTCAGGTGGCGATGACGGTGGTTAGAAATGCCTCTTCCGTCGGAGCCTGTAAGTGAAATAGATATACATTCAGTTCATTTACTTTTCTCTGATGGAATTTGATCGGATTCTGTTTTGTTTTGTATTTGGAACAGTTTGTTTGGACGGCAGCTTGCCGGCGTACCACCTCGACAGGGGATTCGGCGCCGGAGCCGGAAACTGGCTTCTACAGTTCGAGGTCAATCATTTCTCTTCAGTTTAATCTCAACTTATATTTTGCATATTTCTATTTTTGGATATTTTAATTAATTACGGATAGTCCAATGAGCACACGACACGTACGACTCCTACCACATACTTATTAACCCTCAAATGGGCACGCGGGGTAAAAAAACAAATAAAAAAAAAAGAAATTAAAAAGAGAAAATCGAAATAAAATATAACGGATAATTAGTAATTAACATATATACTATTTTTTTGAAGTGGCATTTTTGTTTTTTTATTTCAAAAGACATTATACAAATTTTAAAATAACAAATTTTCTAAAATTTCCAATTATTAATATTCTCATCTTATTAGGTCAATTATATAAATTTAAAAATAATTATTTTTAATAAATTTGTCAATGCATTAATAAACCTATCTTATTACCCATCATTTTAGCTCAATAAGTAAATTCCCTACAAGAAAAGAACTCAATTATTATACTAGCAATATGAATTTTGAAACAGTAATTTCTAGAATATTGGATAACAAATCATCGAATGTTGTTTTTTCTGACTTGATCCAATTAACTATTAGTTTAGTTACCATCACGTCGTGTCAAGTTACTATTATATTACGATGAATTTATAGTCAGGAGAGATCGAACTTATATAATATTTTTAAAAATAAAATATAAAGTTTAGGGGCATATATGTAATTTGGCAGAATTTAAGTATGGTAAAGTTGGGAAAAATAGGGAGGTGGGTGGTGCAATGACGTGGAGTCCTGTTTGGAGAGAGCCAAGAGCCGTAGAGGTTCAACGCAGTTGATGGACAAATGGGAAGACTTCAATGGTATTCTCAGCAATAATGCTTCTCTTAATCCAGGTATATAATCCATTTTAGCCTAATTAATCTCTTTCTCTCCAATTAGCGAGCAATATAATCTCTATTTCCAACCCCATTTAGTCGACCGAGAGAAACTTCTCCTGATATCCGTATGGAGTAGGAGTTAAATAGACATGTGATTGATAAGTTTTGTGTATGAACCAGATTTTTATAACTGGAACCGTGTGAAGCTGAGGTACTGTGACGGAGCCTCATTTGGAGGAGATGCATTGTTCCACAACGGGGTAAATTTTCAGACATTACTGTTCTGTTTCATGTTCTTCCCTTGTTCTAAACCTCGTAAACCCATGTCTCTGTCTAATTTCATGTCTTGGTTCCAAACCAATTACAGACATCGCCGCTTTATTTCAAAGGCCAAAAGATATGGGAATCCATCCTTCTTGACCTTCTACCAAAAGGGTTGGGGACAGCAAATAAGGTATTAACATAAAACATGTCTTATTATGGTCTTCATGTGTAACCATTCATTCCTCTCCTACCACGACAAAAATACTAAAAAAAGAACGTCCATGGTTTCAATAAATGCTCGCATTGACTTTTTTATTACTGGTCATTAATTCTTCCCCCCTGAATTATATAATAGTTAAACCAGGCCGCTACTTTCTTTAATTCTTCCAAATTGCTTTCAAATGTTTTCTCTCTCACGTTTTTCTAAAACAATTCTCGCAAACGTGACCTGTGGCTCAATTATACACCGACATTGTTTGCGAAATTTCAATTTCTCACGATTAACTTGTTCGCTAGAGTAGAACAACCAGAGGACAATCGCTGTCTCGTTGCTGTAAGAGTATGATTGTAACGAATGGTATATTATTCTTGCACAAAAATGTATATTTTCCTTCGTTTCAAGGACTAAAATCCCGTTTAATAACTATTTAATTCTTTTAACTTCGTTTCTTTATAACGGGTTTGATTGTTCTTACGAAAACATTCGAAAAAACGACATGGATGCTAGAAATTGAAGCTATTATGGTTTTGCAGGCTTTGCTTTCTGGTTGCTCAGCTGGGGGTCTAGCAACGTTTCTGCACTGTGAAGATTTCACCAACTATTTACCAAGAAACGCCACTGTCAAATGCTTGAGTGATGCTGGATTTTTTCTTGACTTGTGAGTTCTTCACTCTTTCTCAATACCCATCTCCAAAGTTGATGATTTTGTGTGCCCTTTTAATGCTTCATCTTCCCAGACAAGACATTGGTTCAACACACACCATGAGGGGCTTCTTTAAGGATCTTGTGGCTCTCCAGGTACCTCGCTTTCTCCATCAATATCAACACATTTTAATGTCTTGTCTAATGTGATACCCACAAGGCGTGTGGATGACAGGGAATGAAGCCAAATCTGAATGGAAACTGCACAGCCTCTTCTAACCTTCCAGATTTGGTACTTGTTTACTTACATTCACTTCATTTTACGTTACTTTACATGCTTCTAAAGTTCTTGTGTGTTTCATAATGTGCAGTGCATATTCCCACAGTATGCCTTGAAGTACATAGCCACACCGTTTTTCATTCTGAATTCAGCTTATGATGTTTACCAAGTAAACAAATGTTGTTCCTTTTTTATGTGATAATGTAATTTCAGTGTCAATTTCATTACTGATTTGAAGCCCTTTGAATCATGAATCAAATAGTTTCATCATGGATTGGTGCCGCCATCTGCTGATGTACATGGACGATGGAAACACTGCAAAATGAATCCAGCAGCCTGTAGTAAGCAACAGATTGAGCAGCTGCAAGGTATCTCTCTACATTCCCCTTCCCTAATTTAGTACAAGAAGTTTAGGCTTAGTCCCTAATGTTCGGGTGTTTTTCAAGTTCGATTCTTGGTCTGGTTGAATTTTCAAGTTCGATTCTGTGTCGGTTGGAGAGGGGAATGAAGTATTTTTTTACAAGGGTGTGGAAATCTCTCTCTAGTAGACGCGTTTTAAAATTTTGAAGCTGACGGCAATGTATAACGGGCTAAAACGGACAATATCTACTAACGGTGTGATTTGGCTGATACAAATGGTGTCAAAAGACACTGGGCAATAGTGTGTCAGTGAGGACGCTGGCCCATAACGGGTGGATTGTGAGATCCCACCTCAATTGGAGACCTTACCCTAACTGACGCGTTTTAAAACCGTGAAGCTGACGGCAATATGTAACAGACTAAAGCGGACAATATCTATTAGCGGTGTATTTGGGCTGTTACAAATGATATCAAAATCAGACACCGAGACGGTGTGTCAGCGAGGACGCTGGCTCCCAAGGTGGGTGGATTGTAAGATCCCGGTTGAAAAGAGAACGAAACATTGTTTATAAGAGTGTGGAAACCTCACCCTAACTGACGCGTTTTAAAATCATGAAACTGACGGCGATACGTAATGGACTAAAGCGGACAATATCTACTAGTGTTAGGTTTGAGCTGTTACATAACTGATCCGACTTTGTTTGGTAGCCGAGAAAGCTCATATATTATCATTCATTTGGATATTTAGGTCTAAGATCGAGTATGCTTTCTGCATTAAAATTGTTCTATCAATATTCAAGCAAAGGAGGAATGTTCATAAATTCATGTTTTGCTCATTGCCAAAGTGAGTCACAAAACACATGGTTTGCAAAGGGCTCCCCAACAATTGACAACAAGGTACTTCTTTCTTAATCACAACCCACAAATTCAGCAATGGGTTTCGTTTTTTAGTCGTTAAATTACTCGAAAACTCTCAAATTCGTGTCAAATAAGTTATTGAACTCGTAATTTAATCTTTTTTGTTCAAATAAAATTATATTTTGCAGACTATAGCAGGAACAGTTGGAGATTGGTACTTCAACAGAAGGAACATAAAGGAGATTGATTGTGCTTATCCATGCGACTCTACTTGCCATAATCTTATAGCATAATTAACTCTGCCAATAATCAAGCAAATTCTTTTGAAAACATTATAAAGCAAAATAGCTGTTCATGGCAGCTTCTTCACAGGGGAGGACACAACACATACCAGATAAATTTATAGCACAGATTGTGTAATAAAGTTGTATTTAACATTATAATTCAAGTTTTGGCAGTCGAGCGATTTCTCGACCAACAGTTCATAGATTCGAATCATGTTGTTGAGCTAAAGACAACAGCATTTTAGTTTATAAAAGGCTCAAGGAAGTAGGAAAATTACGGGTGAAGGGGGGTTACAATGAGAGGAAGGCCATGGGCAGGTCTCAAAGAGAGCAAAGTTGCAGGAGAATGAGCATAATTAGGAGACAGAGAGAGTGAAAACCTAGAGAGAATTAGCGTTAACACAATCTTATACTCCATAGAGGACAAGTTTTTACCAATGCACATTCTCCCTCCAAATCCAAATGGCAAATATCCCATCTTGTGGTTGCACCCGCCACGAATGCTGTCCTCCACGAACCGCTCTGGCTTGAACTCATTCGCGTCGTCGCCCCATAGATCCGGGTCGCGATGCATTGCGACGATGTCTATCCATATGTTGGTCCCTTTTGGGATGGTCATGCTCCCAACATCAATGTCTCCTTTTGCTTGTCTTTGTATGTTAGGAGCTGATGGGTATAGCCTAAGTACTTCACTGAATACGCATCCCATCTGTCACGCATTTTATCAAACACCTTGTGGTCAGTAACGAGAAATTGGAGGTTTAATTAGAACGATAAAGTTATCATTGCCCTAACCTTTTTGAGTCCAGAAAGCATGTTGAAATCAATTTCCTTATCTCCAATAACCTCTTTGATTTCCTCTCGTAAAATATCTTGCCACTCCGGCCGCGTTGCCAGAAGCAGGAGTGTCCAACTAGTCGCCAGCGCCGTCGTCTCATGGCCGCCAAAGAAGAAAGTCTTGCACTCGTCCACCAATTCTCTTGTCGTCAGCCCCATCTTTCCGCCGTCGCCGGTGCTCTTCTCACCCTCAATCAAGCGGCTGAGCAAATCAGAGGAGGAATCCTGCGACAGTTTCCTCTTCGACACTAAGGATAAAAAGAGGCGGTCAATTGCAGCGCCAAGTCGCTTGGCGCTTAGGGTTCGGCCCGGGCAGAAAAAAAGGCTGCTGAAAGGAACGCCCACGTAAGTGCTGTTTTGGAAGAGAGTGAACTGAAGAGCTCTGAGGTAGTCGAAGGCGTCTCGGCCGCCATCGTTGCAAATTCCGAAGCTGGCCTCTGCGATAATGTCGCCGGCGGTGGCCGTGATTTCTCTCTCCACGTCGATTTCGCCACCGGCGGAGTTTACGAGGCTGCTCCACTTGTTTAGCATTTTAGTGGTGGACTCCACCATGAACTTTGTCATTGCCTGCAAAAATTAAAAAATTCGTTAATTATTTTTTATTTAATTATCCAAAAAGACCATATCACTAACTATGAACTACTTAATAATTTTATTTTTATCACGTGACCTAAACATGTGATTGGGACGTCCTCCATATAATTTTAAATGATTATAAAATATCAAGAATAATATTATAAATTTTTAAAAAGAATGAGACTTTTTTTAAATAGATAATATAAAAAAATTATATTTTTTATTTTAAAAAAAAGGGACAAATCAAAATCAATCTTATCTGGCAAACCATCAATTAATCATTTAATTAACTTTTCATTCTATATATGGCCAATATAATGACGTCATATCTCCACCACAATAATCCACCACTAATATAAACAAATATTAATTAATCTTTTTCCAATAAATAAAAAATTAAACAAATTAATCCTTCCAACCACACACACGGGCGCGCATATATATATATATATATATATATATATTTATTATTATTATTATTTTTTTTTTGGAAATAAGTTTGTTTTAGAGTTTTAAGTCGAACTTAATAACAAAGTGTTGAGCTGTAAAACGTTTTATTTGAAAGAAGGAAATTAAGTTACCTTCAAGTTAGCGGGGTTGAAAGCGGGAGTGAGAATGTGTCGATGGCGAACCCAGTCGTCGCCTTCGGTCATGACAAGGCCATCGCCGAACATTGGTCTCCTATCGTTTCGGAACACGGCTGGCTTCCCCCAACCCTTTGCCATCACAGCTTCAGAAATCTTCTTCATAAAGTGTGGGTCTGCAATGTATAAAAATGGCTCTGTCCCCAACCAATATATAAACTTCTTCCCTATAACACAAAAATAAATACACATTATACCTTTAAAAATACAAAAATAATAAAATTTAAAATTTTCAAAATTAACAGTTATTATCTTTAAAAAAAATCATTTTTTTATATATGGGAGGTCATTTATGCTTATTCTTAATATTTTTTTTTTTTAAAAATGAAATTTGTGATGTCCGACCTTGGTTGGAGAGGGGAGGAGAACAAACTACCCTTTACAAGGACAATAGCTGCAGTAGATTTAGACCGTTACAGAATTAGATATAAATTTAAACTTTGATATGTTACACTGAACAAAAATATTGTTATCATATACTTATTTTTACTACTGATCAATAAAAATGTCACATCAGTGACAGTAATTGACATGTAATTCTTCTCTCGAGTTTAGAATTTCATGAACGGGAGCTTTGTGTATACCGATTTAGTTAAGAATCAAATAAATAAGAGAAGGGGGTTTAGTTGATTACCATAAGAGGCCTGCCATTGAGCGAAGTGAGGGAAAACAGTGGAATGAATATCATGGGAGACCTTGGAAGAAGGGAAGGAATGAGCATCGCCATTAATGGCGGCGGAAGCTTTCCTTATCCTCTTCATCTCAGCAATGTTTCCAAGAGGAAAGCTTGGAGGAGGACCTCGAAACCCATTACGCTTCAACTTTTGATGAGCCAAAACAGGCAAAACCCACCATGAAACCACCACTTTCACGAACAAAACCATAACTAAAACCCATGTAATTGACCCAATGGAGAGACTAATTACCACCATTTTGTAAAGATTAAAGCTTTATTAAAATAAATTTAATGAAGAACAAGAAGAGAGGTGTTGTAATTTTGTGTTGGTGGATTAGGGTTTATATAGAAGAAGGGGAGGAGGAGGAAGATGGGTTTGTGTGGGAATATGGAAAATATTTGACCTTTTTTTAAAATGGATATTCACATTTCACAACAAAGGAATATTTGACTTTTATAAATAAATTTATTTTCCGTATAATATATGGTTTTTAATGTTAGATTATGTGACAAAACTTTGGTAGATTTATAAGATTAAACAAAATTATAATAATTTAAAAAAAAAATGTTACAAAACCGACCTTAAAAGTCAATGAATATCACAGTAGAAGTAGAGGTCAAATTGTCGGTGCATGAACAGAAAATGTCGTTTTTTAAAATGTTTTAAATGTTTTATTTGTTAGTGGTGATTTAATTGGATGCCTTTTTTGGCCTTTTTAAAATATTTTTTTTTCCCTCATTCTTTGTACAGTTTGGGGGACAAACACAAACAACCTGTCCATCATCCGTTCCAATTTGTTTCTCATGCATGAAGTGAAATTAAACAAGAATACTGTTTTGTTTTTTGTTTTTTTTTTTTTTAAATTGTGATTATTTCTCATAAATAATTTTTTATTATAGTTTTTATTTCCTTCAATGAATATTTGAGATTTTAAGAGTTTTTTTAGATTGAGTTTAATTGGGTTTCAACCTTTTTTTAAATAAAATCCAAGAGGATGCAAAATAAAAATAAAATGTAAATTTATAAAATATTTATTTATTCCTTTTTAAATATTAAAGTATAATTTACAACTCAATTTTAATATATATTTCGTACCTATTTAAAAAATATTTTTAAGTATTATCCGAGAATACGTACACTAAAAAATAATTATAAAATTAAAAATTTAAATATATATATATATATATATATGTGGGAGGAGAATTAATGAATTGATCACTTTTTTTCATTTATTTGAATGATTAAAATAAGTTAATAATTCAATTCAAATTTTATTTTTTTAAAACACCTCATTTTTAGTAATTTTTAAAAATATTAAAATATTTATTTTTCATTTTTTCAAAACTTACCAAAGATAAAATATACATTTTTTTTTTAATTTTAAGGACTGAACAAAAGAATTGTTGAAAATGCAAGGACCTAAAAGTAATTTTACAAAATTTAAAAGATAATTTTGAAATAATTAAATACGTGTAATCACTAATCATTTTTAAACCATCACTAATGATGTCATTAGTTGGTGATTAATTCAATTACTTTTTATAATTATATTTTTGTTTTAATATAACAAAAAAACATGCCACCAATTTCATTAGAAGATAATAATAGAAGCAACATAATTTATTTGATAAGTACGAGGAAAAAAAAAGAAAAAAAAAAGAAATTATTGGATTAAATTATTTTATAGTTTTAAAAGAACCATTAATCACATGCATGAAAAATAAACGCAGCGGGTCCCATTCCACGTATGACGGTCAACTCTTTCGGTAGTTGACTGGCATGCGGGAAACCCTAAACGGATAGGACACGTGGCATCATCACCATGGTTTATTATGTGCGACCCGACAATTTACTCTCAACGGTTTTGTTATTAGTTTCGTCATACATTTAATGGTTTTTTTTGACGGTTAGTACCCACTGGAAGCCAAATGGACGGCTACGATTCAACGAGTTAAGAGCTTAAGGATAAGATCGTAATTTTATTTTTTAATTTAATTTAAATTCCATCAAATTTAAAACATTGGGGCCTACAAAATATGAATGGTTTTGGTCCCATGTGTTATTATGTGGTCGGTTAAGTCTCTTCCAAGGCTACTTTATCAAGCCTTGGTCAAATTATGTGCTTTTTTTTTCTTTTTATAATTATGTTGTCTCAAATATTCATATATTTTTATTAATCATTATGTTGTAGTTTCGATTAAATGCAAGGATGCACACGCTAATGTTCTCTATTTTACCATATAAAATCTATTTTTGGATTGGTCGGGTTTACCTGACGAAAAAACTTCAAACTCATGAAGTCTACTGATTTTTTTCGTTTTAAAAAAAAATTAACCTAACCCAAATCGAAAAAAAAAAAAAACAACTAATTTGAGTTTAGTAGTTCAAATTATTCGAGTTATTGAGTTATATTAACACCCCTAGATTTAACCATGAGAAATATGAGATACATATTTTTTTCAAAACCCACTTTTTAAATGTCGACAGCTTTGAAAAACAATATATTTTCAATCATTATAAATATATATTCTTCGTAAAGTAAAATATATTGTCGCTTTGAACATAACTAAAAAATTAAACTATTTCATTCTTGTCGTGATATAATAAAGTGAAAAATCTTTTATCGAGAGAAGCCATATTTCACTCTTGTCGTGATATAATAAAGTGAAAGAGAGAAGCATAATTAAAAAATGGGTAGGAAGTATGTTCAAAGCTTTTGAACAAAATATATATGATAACCTTTGAATATGATGAGAAGTTCATGTTAAAGATGATAACCTTTTGAAGGGAGCCATAAAAGTAATGGGTCAACCAAAGCCTTTCACAATACTCTCTTCATTGATGCTTTTGAGCAAGTCAAAAAAGAAAAGGTGCTAAATATTTGAAGCTACAAAGGCTTGAAGGAAAAGAACAGAGCCCAAACGAGATTCACCGCTCCGTCCAATAATTTGACGTCTCTATGTGTGTACTAGTTTTACTTTCCATTTAGATCGTTGATAACGTTTCAATTTTAAATTAAAACTTTTAGATGGTACTGTATGAAATTTTAGATAAAAAATGTAAGAGTTAGGGTTGAAAATTAATTTTTAAAGTTGAATATCCAAAAATTTTATGTTTATATTAATAATCTATTTTAAAGTAAACTTGATTAAGTTGTTTCTAAATTTTGTACCTAATTTTAAATATATTTATATAAAAAAAGATACGACGAACACGAACAATGATAAAAGTAATGCATGATTAAAAAAACGCTAATTAAAAGTAATGCATGATTATTTAGCAAGATAATCATCCACATAAAAAAATAATGATGTTTTTATTCAACAATTGTAGGAATTAAAAATCAAATACAACTTTGCGATTTTATTGGTACTATTGAGGATTGAGTAGAAAAAAAAAGTTATATAATCTAAATTTTTGGATAAAATTTTCTCCATACTAATTAGACTTAAATTAAACCAAGTTTCCTATTGTTACAGAAAAATCTGTCAATGATGTGATACATTAAAAACTTCCTATTAAGAATAATAATAATAAAAAGTATACTCAGGAAGGCCATTTGCCATATTCCATAATTAACCTTAATCAAACAATATTTATAAGGAAGATGAAGTTCCTGTATCCTAATGGGAAGAAGAAAACACTGCTAATCATAATTTTATTTTGCAAGTCTAAAAGATGGGCAAGGCTTCCTCCACATTCACTCTTCAAGGAGCTACTGATCTATAAATCCTTCGTATTAGAAGTCATGGAAAAGCATTAAAGCATCGTCGAGCTTCAGCAGCGACGACTCCAGGAGTATCCTGACATTCCTCAAACGATTATATCTTTTCTCGAGCGGACCACCACGCTTGTCTGGTGGAAGATTCAGAAGCTGCAAAAGAGTTGGTTGACACAGCAAGGAGTCAGTTTTTGAACATTCCCACATACACACACAGTGAGAAAACATGGAAGGAATGATCCTTTAGAACAACTTCATTAAAAGCTTAGTTTTTTGGATGGATAGACTTTATTAGATCGTTTTTGCACTTAAGCATTTAGAGAACTCCAAGCCTCTGTAGACATAGGAATAACTGATGACGAATTCTGACGTTCGCTGTTTATGGAAGAGGAATTAGCCATCGGCCCCATATGAATCAAGCTTTAGCCATTGTATTATCCAATGCTAGAGCTTCATCAAGAGAGAAAGAGGAACTAATGGTTTGGCCCTAAATTTGAATTTAGGGTTTAGACTTTATACTCTATAAAGCTATTGGGTCCCTAATTAGTTTATTGAAATTCTATTAAATTTTCAATAGAGATTAAATGGTTAGAACTTGAAAATACAAAGATAAAGTTGTTGCAAAATTGAATGTACTATATTGTTACAAATCAAAGTTCAAAAACTAAATTGTTAAAATTCAGGGACATGGGACCAAAAGGTGATTTTTAAAATAGACATTATTAATAAAATTAGAAGCAAGCTGCATTCGGCCTCTTAGAGTACTAAAACCGGTAGGATAAATGCAATTTTAGGTTCTGCCATGATAAACCACATCAAAAGGTAAGACTCGATTTCTCTAGTAGGAAGGAAATACGTGAATAAGATGACTGAAGATAAAGTTATCAGTGATCAAATGCACACTTGGCCAATATCTCTGTTAGAGAAGTCTAATAGAACCTAATACCATTACAATTGCATATATGAATTTATTAGAATGTTGTGCACACTAACCTCTTTGTCTTGTTCCATCTCATAAGCCTGTCGTAGCTGCAAGTTCAATGAAGCATGATACATCTCATCCAGAACATGTTCCCACAAATTATATCTGTCTACTCTCCACAACAAGCACAGGGAATGTCTAGGTACTGTTATAGCTACTTTCTGCAACAAAAGATAGATTGTGTTACTAGGATGAATCCCCCAAAAAGGTTAACAATGTAAATCGTTCAAGTGGAAAAAGAGATGTCTAGCCAGTGTAGGTACAAGATGATACACAGTAATGAAGAAATAGAGACAAAACACATTCTTATTAGATGTGGTATGATATAGACTTTTAGATACGTAAATATCAAAAATAAAATAAAATAAAAGATAAATACAGCAAAACAATAAAACGAATAAGATTTGTAGGTGCATAATAACAAGTCTAAAAAGAAAACTTAAATCAAAGATGTGCAAAGTTGCTAATTTAAACTACAACCAATTCTGATAAGAAAACATAATGATACCTGATCAAACATTAACTATCCTTTAATATTTTTTCTAGTTAGGTCCAATGTCTAATTGCACAGTTATCTCAGCATTTAACTAACATTCTGAAAACCAATACGTCCAATGCCATCAAACTCAAACAAGCAATCCAGTACTGTGTCCTTCCTCCATGGTCCCACTTTGTGTTTTTCAACTCTATCAATGAATAATGTCATGCTTCTTATTGGGAGAAAAAGGAGTACAGTATCTTTGCTTCACGATGTAAATATATGAATCCGGATGCAAAAACACATGCATACAGAGCAAAGATGTTTACCTCCATGTATAGGTACTCATCCTTCCACAACCTATATAAAATTTTAGGCGCCTCATTCTTGTCAACAAATGCACTATCGGAAATCTACAGAAAAAAGACATGGAAAATCTGTAAATTAAATAAACAATTTTTTTTTTACTCCAGAATACTAAGTACAAAAAATAACAATTCCATGTAATCTTTACTAGATTAAAAAGACAACTATTGGTAAGGTCAGCCCATTATATTATTAGGTTGTTACTCCTTAATTAACGCTCAAGTTGAATTTTAAAACCAACCGTATATTATATATGGATGTTCAATTATGTATTAGTTGCATTCACTTGTAAATTACATACATTTCTAGATAAAATGAAAGGCATATTACAAATGCATACATGCTTTTTTGGTAGCTAGACAACCTTGATAGCAACTGACCGACCAATAACTCCTTACCTTTTCTGTCTCAACCAAGCCACCAGTTTTTGATAGGAATCTGAACATTCTGTACGCATCTCTTCCATATCTTTTTAGAACAATTGATTCAACCTGCAATGAAGAAAATTGAAGTTAGTTCATTATAAAGTATTACATGTCTGTAAGTGCAAGGGATAAGAGAAGAATCATGCTTGCTAACAAATTATCTCAGATAAGAGATTTCAATCAACTGGTTGCGCAAGCAATAAGATGTCATTTTTAAAATTTAGGAACGAAGACGTAATTTCTCAAATTTCAGAGAACAAGGGTGTATTTTTCACTAAATAAATGAGAGGGAGAGAAAAACCTCATCAATTTGAGCTTGTTCGATGATCTTCTGTAAATCTGGGCAAGCAAAGGATTTTAGAAGAAACTTAAAGTAAATCAGATGGGAAGTGTGAAAATTAAACACATCGGGAAAACTTAGTTTAACAGAGGGTGAACATACTAATTTTATAATCTTCCATCCCTGAACAACCCAATGCAGAGAGGGAAGCTTCAACCCGATCTAAAGTCATACTGCGTCCTACTTCATTCTTCATTACCTCCTCGTATATGTTATCCAGTGACAAAGGAACTGCAAACAATTGAACTTTTAGGACAGGAGACATAAAAGTGGACATAGGTGGTAAAGGGAAACACATTTCTGCGCTAGTTTCCAAATCTTGTATCATTTTCTTATATTTCTTAAGGCCTATCGTTCATGATTTAGTCTTTAACAAAATGTATCATGAACCAAGCATCCAACTAGACCTCCATCATAAAGTAACATAACAAGAAAAGGAGTCTAGATAAAAGAAGCCAAGAAACTATTACTCAGTTTAAGAAACATATTATGTAAAAGAGGTGGAAGAGGAAAGAACGTAATAAGAGCACAAAATATAATGTGCATGCTGGTTAATGATACTGATAAAGTGCCCCAAAAATTCTCATTTTTTTGCCTTACTGTACTGGCAGGCTTTGCAAAGGTCATTATTGTCTGCATTGAAGTAAATGAATTCATTACATGATAAAATCAAATATGAATCCTGAAAGCCATCTTGAAAAACAGTTTTCTGCTTTTAACTTTAAAATTTGAAGGAGAAGGCTCAGAAAGATTAGCCTTGTTCTGCACTTGATCATTATTTACGAGGCAATAGTTCTAGAAAAAATAATTTCAATTGTTTTAAGAATCAAATCATCTTTAAAAACAAATTAAAAGAAAACATGAGAAAACAGCCTGTAAAAAGTAAATATGCCAACATGCTTTCACTAATATTTTTATTTTTAAAAATAGAGAATTGTCTTCAAAAGAGCGCCCAAACAATTCCTTTTAGTACCAACTCGCAACATGTATTTTTATACGATCAATGTGCATCAAGATCAAATACGTGCATAACTAAACTCCTTTAGAAATCTACACCAACATTAGATTGTACCTGTTATCTCTGTTTTCACGATTTTTTCAGAACTTCGAGTAGCCTCCAAAATGGCACTCAAGACATTTACCGCTCCGTCATCAAACTGTGATCTGACATGTTCAATGCAAGCCTAGAGCCATAGTAAGATATTGATGCAATTACCATTTGAATTGACCATAAGATATCGGGAGAGTTAGCATGGGATGAACAGTTAATTTAAAATCAAGTTAATGATTTATCAAATATTCAACAGAGAAAGATATTTTGAGTCTAAGAACTTGTGAATTTAAGTACAGTTTTCCCCTCATTTTTGTACAAAGTTAGCATGTGTCAGCTACCAACTTGATAAAACATACAGTATACAACCTCCAATAATTGGAGTGCTCTACACAAATCCTTCAGTAACATGCCTTCTCTCCTCATTATTTTATATTCGGGCCTTTTGTTTGATTTGTGCTCCATAGGCTTGGGTCCCTCATCTAGGTTGTGCTTTTTTTTCCCATTACATAGAAGTACTCTATCAATAGGTTTCAAGGGAGTTAAATTAAATTGTTCATATTTGTCATGCCTTCTTTTTTTGAAAAGAATGCTCTGCCCGCTTGTACAACCGAAACTGGGCCAAGGAGTGGGCATTTGTCATGCCTTATTTTCTTTCTCATCAATAATGTGAATACAAGAAAGGAGCATCACATTCACTGTAATTTCATATGATCTAGTTAGAATATATAAGAAATTCTGAAGGAAAAAATAATACCAACCTTATGTCTAAGACATCTTACAAACTCATCAAAGTTTGCACGCCAAAGAATAATACCATCTGCATCTCCAGACTCTTGTATCATATCCAGATCACCACGCTTGCGCTACAGAAAAACTGTGAGCAAGTACCAAACATGTTTCAGCTAGGTAATTTGATACGATAATCTCATACATACCTTCTGACCAGAAATTGATGAATAATGTTCACTCTCTTCAGCTTCAGTGTTGGTTTCACCTATTGAAAATCTTATAACTTCCATCGGACGTGCTGATTCTACAAGACGTTGTTCTAAGGTCGGTGGCACCTCAGATACCTGCCATGGATCCATTTAATGACTCAAAGATGATATTTAGCACCAATATGCATGACAAGTTTCACATAAATTCAGCTACCTTGGCAGCCTTAGCACCTCTTTTTCTAGGAGGAGGCTGCTCTTCAACTTGGGGTGAAAGAGTTGGTTCAGGGGCTGGACAGCGTTCAACAAAATGGGCATTCAAAAGTTTTAATAAACTTTCATTTACAACATCTGGAATTGGACGGTTTCCTGAAAATACAGAAACAATACCTCAGAAACCAAACGTTTTATATAAGTGGCATATTCAAATATAAGTCAAACACATTCTCAGTGCAAGAGCCGCCTTCTAAATTATGTTATTTCTTCATTGATGTACTTGATCAGTAAGTTCAACAAAAACATATCACAGTTTTAGGATTAAGCACCAATTTCACTCTTCTAAACAAGATGAGGTTGAAAGAAAAACGATTTTTTTTTCTTGAAACAAATAAAAATTTAATTGATAACTGAAACCCCAATCAAGTCAAGAGGTGATAATAAAATCTGATATTAAGATTGACATCAATGACATAGAAATTATCTCTGGGATCCATCAATCTTAAAATCTCCCTTTTCTGATCAATAACGTTCCTTTTAAAAATTTAAATCAATACACGATTTTATGGCACTAGGAGAACGTAGCATATTAAAAAATACTGCAGATAGAAGTAAATAGCAAAATGCAAATAAAAATACCACGTAAAAAACTTGCCTGCATGTTTACTGGACTTTGCTCTTTCAATTATTTGTTCCATTGAAAGCCTACCATTCTGCAACAGACCCTCAAGAAGTTCTTCACACTACGAAATCAGAAACATAAGTTAAGAATCTAAATTCCCTCAAAGTTGAAAATTCTCAACAAGAGTTTTACCAATGTGAGTATATGAACTAACATCTTTATCTTTCTCAAGCTTTTCTGAAGCAATTGCCAGGAATTTGGAAAATCTCATACGATGAAGTATGTTACTAAACAACGCCAAGTATTGTGTGTCTGCCTTGGGTGCGTCTCCGAACTCACCTACACGTGCATTTACAATAACGATGATAAGAAGCTCAATCTGCAAACACACGGTGTCCTATTCGAGAATACAACTACCTTCTTAACACACTAATTACCTAATAGCGTCAATATGGTTCCATAAAATAACTACCTATCAAAGTTGATAAATTTAGAAAACGAACGTGCTTAAACTGAGCATAGATACATTATTTTAAATGACGCTATATAATCCCGGTTATATGAACTTAATCGAACTCAATTCTAAAATCCAGATTCTATTTAAGGTAAAATGGTTATTCTTTTAGCCAATGAGCTTATTGTCACTAATTAACCAAACAATTTACCAAAAAAATACCATAGACTCAGAAGTTTCTCCATGAATGAAAACTCATTATACCTTCTGTCACTGCAGTGAAGGCTTGGACGCAATTATGTTGGATGAGAATAAGAAGGGAGTTATTAATCTGTGATGAGCTAAGTTCCGTGAATCGTACAAGAAGTCTCAAGGTCAGAGGCCCCCTTCGAAGCAGGGTTTCGCACACTTTCTGTCAATGCACAGTCAATATTAATGAAAAACGATGATACGAAGAAGAACAGGCTGATAACATGACACGAATCAAGATTTGAAGCAAGGATTAGAAAAGAAAAGGCATACCGCGACGAGATTGCCGAAGTGCGCAGTGATAATGTGGACGGCATATTTGATGCCATACTGAGTCGACGCCATGATTTCCTTCTTTAAGATTGCCGTGCGTCTATGATATCAAGTATTTTGAAGTAATTGGAATTGACATTGACGAACTGTAAGCTCAAAAAGCACTGATTCAGCAGAAACTATAGTGTAGATGCTTGAAACATCGAAAATCTTCGCTTCAACCGAGTAGAGAGACGATAAGAGAGCAATAGTGAGGCGTACCGCTTAACAACTCATGCTCCGGTGGGAAAAAGGTGAGCGAAAATTGATCTGTACAAGGTTGAAGGACATGGCGGGAGAACAACTGGCTGGGTAAGCGAGTGCGGGAAGGCGGACGGCGATGGGGCACGGGATAGTCGATGTAGCTTTTTTTTTTTTTAAATATATTTTTTTTTATCAAATAGGTCAAAAAAAAAAAACTAAATTAATTAAAAATATTATTAAACTTAAATTTTTTTATAATATTCTTACGTAGAAAAACACGCCTAGCAGATATTATTTTATTTGGATTTTTTCTCTCGATTTTCTTTTCAAGATTTTAAAACGTGTTTGCTAGCGACAAGTTTTTGCACACTTATAAATAATATTTTATTCTATTCCCAATAATGTGGGATCTTACAGGCATGCTTGAACCGTTGGTACAAATCATCTGACAAAATCAAAAGTAGGGTTACGAGAGTTTGTGTCATTGAAAGTGAAAAGTACCATACCATTATAACTAAATTTATGGTCTCCAAGAATTTCCTGTAGCATTTCAAAACAAACAAAACTCCCGTTTTCAAAAATAAAGAATCAAATAGTTAATCAAACAGAATTTTAAATTTAGGGTTTTAAGTTCGAACTCGAGATGGTAAGCACTATAAAGAAGGGAGAGGAATAGGAATATGTCATTTTCTGAATTGGATTCATTGCTAAGTTTCTTCCCATCAGTATTAGTTGTTTGATTATAACTTTTATCAGCTTTACAAACATCATCTTGTGTCTTTTCTTTTATGTCCCCATTATAACTATCAAACTTCAATTTTTCTTTAACCAAACTTCAATGCAATGGACCTCACACGTCCCCTTCTCGTTGCCCGTCATGTCCGTAAACTCGAAGACGATTGAAGCTTTTGATCGACCCGTTCAAAGGTCGTTGAATTCTTCACAACAAAAATAGCTCATGTTTTAGAATATAGTTCATTTATGGTCTTAAATTACCTATTAAGTTCAGAAGAAGTGTTCAACACGCAAATTCTTACCCTTATTTTAATCGTTGAAATTAAAAAAAAAATTTGAAAATAAGCTAAGAGCGTTTTTAGATGATTCGTATCCTTTCAAACACTCCCGAACATACCGTAATTTATTAATTATAAAATTAGACTAAACCGCCCCCCACACTTCAAACATGAGCACACAAGGAATAACTGATATAAGGTAGGGAGTGGGACACACAAACAATCCCACTTGCCAAGCTCTTCTTCTATAAATAACAAAATAGAAACCCTATGCTCATTAAGATATTTTCTAGCTACCTCTCTAATACGATCTTTTCTTCTTTTTTCTCTTTTTTTTTTTTTTTTTTTTCGAGAGTTCGAATCTTGGTGCCGGTGGAGAGTTCCAAAGGGATCGCATTGATCCAATGTTCGTCTCGTCTTGGCTCGTTTCGCCCCATTGACGAGGTCGAAGTTGATTCCGGATTGTTCATTGGATCATGCGATCTCTTAGGAATCTTCCATCGGTAGCTCTAAAACATGTACTACTAATATTTGTTTATTAGATCCAAGGTTCTTTTTGTCTCACTCCATTAACAACGTTCAAGTTGATTCCCGATCGTTTATTGGATCGTGCGATCTCTTAAGAATCTGTTGCTTATACGATAAATTCTTCAGGTATGTAAGATTTAACTCGTTAGAGTCATCAAAATTTTTAATAAATTTATTAGATATAAATTTAAAAAATTTATTTAGAGAAATTTTAAATATTAAGTTTAAGAAAAATACCTATTAAATTATAAATTTTGTCAGATTTTTTAATTTTTTTAATTATTCTTAAGTATCATCCACCCATTCAATATTATTAACTTACTAAATAGAAAATAAAAAATTTAGTATTTTAATAAATAGATTATCTTTTAAAATTCTAAAATATATCACAAATTTGTTTGACATAAAGGAAGTTAAAAGATTTATTTAAGAATATCTTTTAAAGTTTAGAAATTTATATTTTATTATTATTATTTTTAAATTATTGAAGTTTATTTAGAGATTAAATTTGTAAGAAGACATGTCCGGGTCCGGGTCGGATCTGACACAGCCCATCTGCCCGGTTACTAAGACGGGTAATGGGCTTAGCCCAAATATTCCTTGTACGAGGGCTGAGTCCAATGGGCTTACGTTTGCCTGGCCCATATTATATTTTACTCATTTTGTTTTTTAATTTCCATCTTTACTACTTTAAATTGTCGTCCATAGCCTCCTTCAAATTAATGTTTCCGACCAGAATTTGGGAAACTTTTCTTCTAAAATTTATAATAAATAATATTAAGCATTCGTACACCGTACATTATAGATCAAAGCCGACCGATTAGAACATTGTCGAGATGGAGCAGGACATCGAATGTTGTGGTGGACTTGACAAAAAAAAACTCTTTGATTCTCCAATGATTCTCAACCCGACACTCGCAAGCTCCAAGATTTGCTCCGATGCCAGTTGCTTCAGAATTCGCTTTAATGCCGACTCCTCCAGCATTTGCTCGAGTGGTGGTGTGGATTTCTCCATTTGATGTTAATTATTGTCGTAGGATTTAGAAATATATGAATTAAAAATATAAATTTAAGGATTAAATGTTAAACTTAGGGTTCTATCTAAGATTGAAATCCATGAGAATAGTATTTGTTTTGGGGCATTGATATACAAAGAAGCCCAATTAGAATGGGAAGAGAAATCGACGTGTAGTTAAACCCATTCGCATAAACCTCGCCGTCAGACCATTCGTTGAAAGAACCTCTTCGGGAATTCGCCGGAGCCGATCGACTTTCGATTATCAGGTGAAGATGGTGAGCCGGAGGCAAAAGCTTGCCCGGAAAAAGTACAGAGAAGAACACCCAGAATTGTTCCCGAAAGCAGAACCAACGCCACCAAAAGATCCGGAGAAGAAGAAGGAGAAGAAGAAGAAGAAGAGTGAATTCAAGCGCAAAAAGGGAGAATCGGATTCAAGGAACGACCCGATTAAACCACACAAAAAGGGATTTAAGAAACACCCTCTCAGAGTTCCTGGGATGAAGCCTGGTGAAAGCTGCTTCATCTGCAAAGCTAAAGACCACATCGCTAAGTTTTGCCCTGAAAAGGCTCAATGGGAGAAGAACAAGGTTTGATTTCTTGTTTTACCTTTCTTGTTTATGGTGTTTCACTGTTCACTGAGATTATGGAAATTTTGCTCATAGACATGGTATTGTTAGGAATGTGGTGTTTATGAAATTGGTTGGGATTCAGTTTGCCTCTTCAATTTGAGGCAAACTTCTCAACTCATTGATGCCAATGCTTAGGTTTCTCCATCAATTATGATCACTTGCAATAGATTGTTAGAGGTCTTGTGATCAAGAATAACATAGATTATTTGGGAGAGCTCTATTGTGAGATCCCACGTCCGTCGGAGAGGAGAACGAAGCATTCCTTATAAGGGTATGGAAACCTCTCCTTAGGAGACGCGTTTTAAAAACCGTGAGGCTGACTATGATACTCAACGAGCCAAAGCAGACAATATCTGCTAGCGGTGAGGTTGGGCTGTTACAAATGGTATTAGAGTCAGATACTAGGCGGTGTGCCAACGAGAATGCTGATCTCCCAAGGGGGATGGATTGTGAGATCGCACATTGATTGAAGAGGGAAATGAAGCATTTCTTATAAGAGTATGGAAACCTCTTCCCAGGAGACGTGTCTTAAAAACCGTGAGGCTGATGGGGATACGCAATGAGCCAAAGCGGACAATATCTACTAGCTGTAGGCTTGAGATGTTACAAATGGTATCAGAGCCAGACACCGGGCGGTGTGCTAGTGAGAACGCTGATCTTCCAAGGGAGAAGGATTGTGAGATCTCACATCAGTTGGAGAGGAGAACGAAGCATTTCTTATAAGGGTGTGGAAACCTCTCCCCAGTAGACGTGTTTTAAAAACCTTGAGGAGAAGGGAAAGGTCACAAAAGACAATATCTGCTAGCGATGGGGTTGAACTGTTACATCTATAGCAGACGTGTATACCAAATTGTTATTTGGCATTCACAGATATGCTTACTTTGCCGGAGACGAGGCCACAGCCTCAAGAACTGCCCCGACAAAACTGAAGACACAGTGGATAAGAAGTTATGCTATAATTGTGGTGAAACAGGACATTCACTAGCTAATTGTCCACAACCTCTTCAACATGGTAAATTTGGTTTCAATTCATACTCAAATTCATCTGTGCTTTGCATAATATGTAGAACAATTCCTTTTGGGTCTTTTCTGTTCCTAAACTCTTTCTACTGTTTTTCATCTTGGATCTGTAGGGGGAACTAAATTTGCCAATTGCTTTATTTGTAATGAAAGTGGACACTTAAGCAAGAACTGCCCAAAGAATACTCATGGGATCTACCCTAAGGTATTTGGTTTAACTTGCACGTTATGGTCACGGGCCAGGCTCTTGGCTTCGCCTGTACGTTGCCCCGTAGTTTCCTGTATCGTATAGCTCGAATAATTTCGTTGTATGATATTCTGCAGGGTGGTTGTTGTAAAACTTGTGGGGAAGTGACACATTTAGCTAAGGACTGTCCAAAAAAAGGCACACAAGTTTTTGCTGGGCCTGGTGCATCTGGTAACAGATGTAAGTCTTCCTGTTTGCTGCTGTGACATGTTTGTTGACACAAATGATCTAAAATTATAATGTTCGGGAACCGAGTTCTTCGTATCGATAAACTTGTGCTTAAGATGCTTAGGATCTCCAGATTTGTGCTAAAGCTTTGTATTGTGAGTAGTAATTCGTTTTCTTTTGTCTCAGCATCTGGATATGTGGAAATG